GGGATTGTGTCCCCACCCCGGGAATGAGGGCGTTTTTAACCCCCTGCCCATGGCCATGGGATGATTTTCCAGGTCTTTCCCCACCCAGCCCGTTTATTTAATTCTCTCATCCCGTTATTTCATTCTCTCCCGATCCATCCACTCAGAAACGCTCCGGCAGCTCCTTGTGCCCTCTCTGAGCCCAAAAATTGGAAATTTAGGGGTTGTCTTGTTGCTGTCAGCCCAGCCCCCTTCCTCAGGACATGCTGGGACATCCGTAACACCCCGGGACACCCCCGGAACACCCCTGGACAGCCCGGAACACCCCGGGACACCCCGCTCCCCATCCCGGGACACCCCGGTTCCCATCCCGGGATCCCCATCCCCGGTACCGCGGAACACGGAGGGCGGGTCGTGGAAGAAGGGGTAGTCGGTGCCGAAGAGCAGGTAGGCGCCGTAGGACCAGGACACGGAGTAGAAGAGCAGCTTCCAGGCGCTCTCGGGCATCTTGGCCGCATCCCTGGGCTGCAGCTCGCACCATTCCCCGAAGGGCTGCGGGAACGGGGGAATCAGCGGGGRAATCAGCGGGGAGCGGCCCCAGGGCGGCGATCGGCGGCGTTCCGGGGGCTCGGAGCCTGGGCGGGCTCGGCATTCCCGATTTTCCGGCTTTCCCGGTGACGGGAACGGGGCTGGAGAGGCGGGAGGTGCCCCCAGCCCGGCCCGAGCTGAGGGAGCCCCGAGAATCCTCCGATCCCGGCCCGGGGGAGTCCAGAAAATAAAAAATGAACCCCAAAAGGGAGAGCCTGGGGACCGAAACATCCTCATACCGGGGGAATCCATAAAATAAAAATGAACCCCGAAAGGGAGAGCCTGGGGAGTGGAACGGGGAAATCCATAAAATAGAAATGAATCCCGAAAGGGAGAGCGTGGGGACTGAAACATCCTCATCCCGGGGGAATCCAGAAAATAAAAATGAACCCCAAAGGGGAGAGCCTGGGGAGGGAAATATCCTCATCCCGGGGGAATCCATAAAATAAAAATGAACCCCGAAAGGGAGAGCCTGGGGACCGAAACATCCTCATCCCTGGGAAAGGAACCCGCTGGACCCTGGGCAAAGCTCTGCTGGGCAGGGAGCGGCTCTGAGAGTTTATTTGGGAATAAATGAGCCCAGCACGGAGCAGACTCGGCTTTGGGGGATGAACAGAGCAGGAAGGGGGTGCCGGGGGTGCCCCCGGTGTGCCCCCGCTCCCACCGAGTGTTTCCCTCCGAGCCCCCGGGGAAGGGGAACGGGAACGGGAACGGGAACGGGAACGGGAATGGGAACGGGAAGGGCTCCTCCGGGTCCAGGGGGAACCCGAGCACCGCAAACCCCCGGGCAGGAGCTGCCGAGGAGCCGGGGATGAAAACAAAATGCCTGGGCAGTAACTGGAGCCTGCCCCGGGCCGCAGCCGCTCCTAAATTAAGGCCCCAGCTGTCCCCGGGCTGATCCGGCCCCTTTTCCTCGGGTCCCCTTCTCCAGGGGCTCCAGGCCCGGCCCCGGCAGCGCAGCCCCGCTCCCGGCACGGTCCCGGTCCGGAGCCACC